GGAGGTGGGTGCTGTCGGCGTGTCAAGTGGGCACTGGCGGTGCGGGAGCTTGCTCATGGGGCTGGGGGATGCTGGACTCGGGTAAACGTGCTGCGGCGCTGCCTGCCCCAAGGGTGCTCTCGGAGTGGCCCCTGCGCCATCAGAACACACTGTACAGCTCCTGGCTCTGCTTCCCCAGGACACGGAGCTGCTGGACCTGCGAGAGACCATCGACTTCCTGAAGAAGAAGAACTCGGAGGCTCAAGCTGTGATCCAGGGTGCTCTGAACGGCACCGACGTCACCCCCAAAGGTAAGGCATGGCTTGGCAGCCCCCCGCCCATGGGTGTTGGCAGCCCTTCCTGAGCCCCTCGCCCAAGCCCAGCTGGGCTGCTCCTGCCTGGGGCTGGCACAGGGCCCCAGGGCACCCCTCACGCCAGTGAGATGTTCAGATGGGAGGCAGGATCCCCTGGGCAGCAGCTCTTCCCCACGTGGGACCCTTGAGCATCCAAAGCCAGGGTTGGACAGCCAGAGCTGTCACCACAGGAGGTCTTGGTTCTGGTGCCTGGGGGTGATGGGATGGTTGTCCTCCCTGGGACACCTCCTCACTGGGCCCTTTGCTGACAGTCTGGTTTTGGCTGCTAATCTTGACTTTGTTCCCATGAGTGCTGTTTCTAGCCCCGAAATCCCAGTGTGAGTGTGAGGCGCTGGCAGGGAGATGGCCTGGGACAGGAGCAGAACAATGTGTGCTCTGGGCATCTCCCTGGGGATTGGGGTCACTGTCCCAAATGGCAGCGCCCATGTGGTGTCTGAGCTCCATGTCATAGAGTCATAGAATAGTTTGGGTTGGAAGGGACCTTTAAAGGCCCTGCACTGAGCAGGGACACCTTCAACTCGATCAGAGCCCTGTCCAACCTGACCTGGAAGGTTTCCAGGGATGGTGCATCTCCCACCTCTGTGGACAACCTGTGCCAGTGTTTCACCACCCTCATTGTCAAAAATTTCTTCCTTATATCTAGTCAAAATCTGCCCTCTTTTAGTTTAAAACCGTTACCCCTTGTCCTGTCGCTACAGGTCCTGCCAAAAAGTCTGTTCCCATTTTTCTTACAAGCCCCCTTTAAGTCCTGGCAGCTGCAGTAAGGTCTCCCCAGAGTGTTCTCTTTCTCCAGGCTGAACAACCCCAACTCTCTCAGCCTGTTCTCAGGTGTTCCATCCCTCTGAGCATCCAACCCACTCCCACAGGCCCATGTCTTTCCTGTGCTGAGGGCAATTCCTTTCATCTGAGAGCTCAGAAGATGTTTGGGTGGGAGATGTTTGGTGAGGGGCACAGGGAGGAAAGTGTGGGTGGCTCTAGTGTTGGGGCAGACGCAGTTTCCTGCAGTTACCTCCTTTCTTGGTCTCTCCCACTTCTCTCGCTGACCCCAGAGCTGCGCATCAAGCGGCAAAACTCCTCTGACAGCATCTCCAGCCTCAACAGTGTCACCAGCCACTCCAGCATTGGCAGCAGCAAGGACGCCGATGCCAAGAAGAAGAAGAAGAAGAGCTGGGTGTGTTGGATGGGGTGCTGGCAGGAGGAGTGGGGCTTGGGGAGCTGCTGGCAGGATCTGGCTGGGGTCGGCTCTCGGTCTACCTTGGCATCATGGTGTTGGTCCCCTCTGTCCCCTGGGGAGAGCACTGGTGAGGAGTGTAGCCACAATGGATTTGTGTCTTGATGTGTCGGCTGAGACTTCTCCAGCCCCGTTGGGAGTTTTTCAGCCCTGGTCCTGCACGGCTGCTCCCTTGTTTTTTCCCCACTTCTCCCTTCTGCCCAAGCAGGCTCTGGCAGTGTGGGGCGCCGGACACCTCGGCCAGGCAGCCCCTTCCCCATGCCAGGCGGCTCTGAGCTGGACATGTGATTAAGTCTTGCTTTGTTTTGTTTCTCTTCCCCCTGTGCTGACCTCAACCCTTTTTTTCCAGGTGTATGAGGTAAGTCCTACGCTGTCCCCTCCACCCCATGCTGTGCCCAGCCAGGGTCCTCGCTCCATTTTGTGGGACAGTGCTCATAACACTACCCATCCCATCCATCCCACTGGCACTAACCCCCAGCATGGGCCATCTTGGGCCCGCCGGCCAGGCTGCGTGCACCTTGGTTATTTCATTTGACATTAAGGCCAAAATGTGCACCTGGGCAGCCCTGAGGCAGCAGGAAGGGATTGGGTGGGGACGGCAGGCACCCTCCTGACTCCCCGCAGCCAGACCGTTTGGGATGGGGACCTCACTGCAGCCCTGCCTGTGGCAGCGGGGTGTGGTGCTGCCCATCTCTGCCTTGCCAGGGCTGGCCTGATGTGGCCCCAAAGTGGCTCTGTCCCTCTTGGGACTCATGTGAGTCCCAGTGCTTCCCTGCTCTCCTGCCATCAGCAGAGCCTGACACTCACCTGGTTTTCTTATGCTGGGATGCAACGCTTTTGCTTTTGGGGACACCCCAGACCAGCCTGTCTCTGGGCCTGTAGGAGTTGGGCTGGATCCTGCCCATTCTCCATCCCCTCTTCCTCCTACCTCGGAGCAGGCCCTGGCCCTCCAGGGGACACGGTGTGAGCCCGGGATGCCTGTCCTGCTGCTCCCCCGCGGGCTGGTGGTGCGTAAGCGGGGACCCAGGCCCAGTTTGGCCCCTGCACAGCGTCCCTCCGCCCTCCCTGGCCTCAGCACGCTGCTCACCCGCCCGCGGCTCTGTGTGTGCTGTGTGCATGCTGCATGCCCGGCCGGGACCCCCGGTGACATTGTGTGGAGGGCTGGCCAGCACTCTGTGCGTCCAGGAGGACCCCACAGGGCAGAGGGGGTGTGTGTGGGGCTGACATTGTCCTCCTGCACCAGGACCCAGGCTCTACAGTGGCTGGAGCGAGGGCTGTCCCCCTAAATGCCACTTGTCAGGATGGCTGTGGTGGGGTGAACGTGGAGATGGAGTCAGCCCTTCCCGACGGATGAGGCTGCTGGTGCAGTGCCTGAGCACTCTGATGTGGGTGCTGGGTGGGGAGCAGGGCTGGGGGAAGCTTGCCCAGGACATGGGTTCCACTCCCTGGGCCTGTTTGGTGCCGCCCAGGCTGGGGCTGGAGCTGGAGCGTTACACAGAGCCGTCCACCTCCGTCCATCAGCTGTTCCAGCAGAGCGGGGCCAGGCCGGTGCCTTCCCTGGGCAGTGGTAGGGCACAGCCATGCCTCGGTGATGGACGTGGTGCCGCTGGTCCCGGCTCAGGGTGTGGGTCCTGGGCAGGACTGGGCCAGATCTCTGCTTGCAAGGCTGCACTGTCAGGCTGTCCCTGACAAGAGCATTTTTGTCTCCTGTAGCTACGCAGCTCCTTCAACAAGGCCTTCAGCATCAAGAAGGGACCCAAATCAGCCTCATCCTACTCGGATATTGAGGAGATTGCCACGCCAGACTCATCAGCCCCCTCCTCCCCCAAGCTGCAGCATGGCTCCACGGAGACCGCCTCGCCCTCCATCAAATCCTCCACATCCTCCTCCGTGGGCATTGACACGGCTGAGTACGTGGGGCCAGGGCAAGTGGCACGGGGTGGGGAAGGCCTGTCGCAGGGGCTGTAGGCTCCTGCCTGGGACACGTGCAAGACTTGGTCTCTCCCTTGGCCCAGGCTCTTCCAGGCCCATGGTGAGGGCGAGCCAGAGAAGAAGGAGGTGTCAGAGCTGCGGTCAGAGCTGTGGGAGAAGGAGATGAAGCTGACGGACATCCGCCTGGAAGCCCTCAACTCTGCCCACCAGCTGGAGCAGCTGCGGGAGACCATGCACAACATGCAGGTGAGGGACCACTACCAGGAGCCTGCCTGGCTCTGAGCTCCTGGTGGCTGCAGTCCCTGTGCCCTTGGAGCCATTCTGCAGCCCCGGGCTGCTGCTGGCAGCCAGCTCCTCACCCTGGGCCGTAACTGGTTCTCTCCCAGCTGGAGGTGGATCTCCTGAAGGCCGAGAATGACCGGCTTAAAGTGGCACCGGGACCCTCAGCAGCCCCAGGCTCCGTTCCCAGCCATGTCACAAGCACGTCGGCCTCGTCTTCACCGCGGCGCTCCCTGGGTCTCGCTCTTGGCCATGCCTTCAGCCCTAGCCTGGGGGATGCAGGTAGGGGTGACGGAGCTGCTGGCAGATGGGGAAGGGTTGGGACAGAGACATGTGTGTGGTGGGAACATGCTGCTGCTCACCTGTAGGCAGCTGTGCACAGGGATCTGTCGTGCTGCCGGTGCCACAATCAGAGGCAGCTAAGGCTGCGTGCAGCCAGGCCTGGTGGCTCGGCTCTCCCTGCCGGCACAGCCTCACTGCTCTGTCCCTAGATGTGTCCCCCATGGATGCTGTCAGTGCTGGCACCCAGAAGGACGAGCTGATGCTGCGGATTGTAGTGCGCATGCCGCCCCAGCACATCATCAAGGGGGTATGCACGGGCTGTACGGGGAGCCTGACCTGTCCCAGTGCCATGGCCCTGGACAAGGGGCAGAGGACGCCTGTCCAGGGCTGGATACGGTGCTCCAACCTGCACACCTCTGCCTTGGCTCCTAGGACCTCAAGCAGCAGGAGTTTTTCCTGGGCTGGACCAAAGTGAGCGGGAAGGTGGACTGGAAGATGCTGGATGAGGCTGTCTGCCAGGTCTTCAAGGTAGGAGCATGAGGACCCTGCTTTGCTTTGGAGAGCCATCCTTTTACACTGCTCCACCATGCCTGGCACTCCTTTGGCCCAGGTCCTTACTGGCGTCTCCTGGAGCTGCTGAGCATCACTTGCTCCCTGCTAGCCCTCAACGGCACCAACAGCTCTGTCCTTGTCCACATAGGATTACATCACCAAGATGGATCCTGCCTCCACGCTGGGGCTCAGCACTGAGTCTGTCTACGGCTAAAAAAACGGGTGCCCGCGAGACCTGCCGCTGTGCCGCCGGGGCCTGACCAGCATCGTAGTGACGCTCAAAGGTCAGTGTGGCGGAGAAGCTCTGTTGCTGTCCCATGTTCTCTCTGTCTCACGGTGTCGTGGGGTGTGAGCAGGACCCTCAGCCCTCCCCTGCCTGCAGGCTTGAAGGAGAAGTGTGTGGACAGCCTGGTGTTTGAGACGCTCATCCCCAAGCCCATGATGCAGCATTACATCAGCC